AAATTTCATTGAGATCCATTCAGCAGTTTAGGCTACAAACTCTAACAAACATCCATCCATCCATCCATCCATCTAAATTTTCACATTTATAATATTAGTATGATGTTACCCAGTGATAACGTAGCTATTTATCAGTGAAAGAATTTTTCAAATCGGCCCAGTAGTTTTTGAGTTATTTCATCACATATAAAAATACAAATCTTTCCTCTTTATAATATTAGTATAGACTAAAGCGACGCTGTAGTTACTAACTTATCTAATAAACAGCTTTAATAAAAACAAAACAGCGTCTGCCTTTTTTAATCTGTGAAAGGAATGCAAAAGAAGTTTCTTTGCAGCCCTAACTTCTGTTAATTACGACGGACGTTCGGGGAGAGGTGACTCCATAAATAGGACGAGTCACGCTCGACTTGGAAAATAAAATGTGACAGATAGCCGTCTCTTCGCGTTGCAGTCTTTGAGACTATAAAGTCGTTTGGCGAAACATTTTCTTGTATAAAATATAAAAATATTTTAGTTTTACCTCTAGACTTATGCTTTTATATGTTCCTGATAGAATAAAAATTTGTAACAGCATGTCTATATAACATTTCAAATGTCTTATGTTACCACTAGCTTTTACCTACGACTCCGTCTGCGTACAATAAGAGAGTAGCCTATGTGTTCTTCCAGACTATCTACGTTTATACCAAATTTCATTGAAATCCATTCATCCGTTAAAGCTACAAACTCTAACAAACATCCATGCATCGAAACATTCGCATTTATAATATTAGTAAGAAGTAAGATTAGAAGATCATATTTTTTACTTTCTAATATAAATGCGAAAGTTTCAATTGATGGTTGTTTGTTAAAACCTATCTTCAAAACTGCTTATCGGATTTCGACGAAATTTGCCACAGATGTAGAAGTTTAAAAGAACACACAGGCTATTTACTAAGTTTCTCAATTCTAAACGGACAAAGTCGCGGACAAAAGATAGTATTTTAATCATTAGCCTCAGTGATCCAAGTGTTGCGATTTCAATATATCCAAACACTGAACTATTTTCAACAATAATTTAAGGTAATGTAAACTGTAAAGTTCCCCTTGGCATAGAATACCAATCAGTTTGGGAAGCCATGAAAAATACAAAATTCACTGTAACCCTAACCTTTTGAAAGCCGAAATATTACAGGGGGAATGACGTAGTAGGCAGTCAGCAAACGAGATGTGCCCTTTGAAGTCTGAATAATTTAAACATCAATTTAGCAGACAAACATAGACTTTCTAGGAATAGTACTAAATTAACTATGCATTAGTTTTGCAGATTTAGTATTATAATTGTTACAATTTCTCTCATTTTTCGTATATAAAACGAAGGCAATATAGAAGCTTTAGTAAAGCCAAAAAAGAATTAAACGAATAAAAATCTTATTGGATTTTCTTTCGTATATTATTGCTTAAGTGGGTGTTTGTATCTCCATAATGGATCTCACTAAAATATGGCATAAATGTAGAGTACTAGAACGCATAGGATACTAAGTTATTTTGTTTATTTCATGCGAACGGAGTCGCAAACGACAACAAGTGATAGTCATCATCATCAACTTGCCCTTACCCCTTACGGAGGGTCGGCGCAGTATGTGCTGCTCTTCCATACGTCTCTATCAGCCGTCATATCTGAAACTACTTTCTTAAGCATATCCTCTTTCACACAATCCATCCATACTTTCTTCTGTCTTCCTCTTCCTTTGTAGCCACATTTAATCTTAACACTTTCTGGTTTATGTCCCCATCGTCTCGTCGCATAACATGTCTATACCATGCTATAATTGATGACAACAATTAATAGTATAAAAACTAGAATTTATTATAGAAGAAATTAAGATTCAATTACCTTTCGTTATT